GGAGGAGGAGGAGGAGGAGGAGGAGGAGGCGCCGACGATGGAGGACAAGGACGTGAAGGAGAAGGAGGAGGAGGAGGAGGAGGAGGCGTAGGAGGAGGAAGAAGAGGTGGAGGAGGAGGCCACAGAGACGGAGGAGGAGGGAGAGAACTTAGAGGAGGAAGAAGAAGAAGTCGATGAGGAGGAGGAGGACGACGATGAGGAGGATGAGGAGTGGGAAGAGGATGAGGAAGACGAGGAGGAGGAAGAAGAGGAGGAGGAGGAAGAAGATGAGAAGGAAGAAGAGGAGGAGGGTTCGACGATGAAGGAGAAGGAGGCCACGGCGGCGGAGGAGGACGGAGAAGAAGAAGAGGCGGAGGAGGAGGAGGAAGAAGGAGAAGAAGAAGAGGATGAGGAGTAGGAGGAGGCCCCGACGGGGGTGAAGAACAAAGAGGGGGCGGCGGCGACGGTGGCAGTGGAGGGGGACGTGGAGGAGGAGAGATGACGAGGATGAGAACGAGAATGAGGAGTAGGAGGAGGCCCCGACGATGTTGGAGGAGGCGGAGGAGGAGGAGGAGGAGTGGAACGGGGGCGAAGTGATTGGTCACGCGATCGCTCCGTCGGCCCTCCCCGCTCTTTTTTCAATCAATCAATCAATCAATCAATCAATCAATCAATCAATCAATCAATCAATCAATCAATCAATCAATTGATCAAAGATCCCATCGAATCGATTGATTCGATAGGATCTTGATAAGTCAAGATCCTATCGAATCAATCGATTCGATGGGATCTTTGATCAATTGATTGATTGATTGATTGATTGATTGATTGATTAATTGATTGATCAGATAAAAAAAAAAAATATATATGGAGGTGGAGACGTTATCGATTCGGTGAGGATGGGGAGGAGAACGACGAGTCGGGGGACAAGGATTGACGGGACGAGGAGGAAGAAGAAGAAGAAGCGGGGGAGGAGGAGGCCGTGGCGATGAAGAACGACGACGAGAAAGACGAAGAGGAGGACGACGACGAAGAAGGAGGAGGAGGACGAGGCCCCAGCGGGGCTGAAGGGGGAAGAGGCGGCGACGGCGGCGGTGGCAGCGGGGGAGGAGGTGGCCCCGACGATGGTAGAGGAGGAAATGACGATGGGACAGGGATTGACGGGACGAGGAGGAAGAAGAGGAAGCGGGGGAGGACGAGGTCGTGGCGTTGGAGAAGAACGAGGAGAAAGGCGAAGAGGAGGATGACGACGAAGGAGGAGAAGGAGGCGGAGGAGGAGGAGGAGGAGGCCCCAACAGGGGTGAAGGAGGAAGAGGCGGCAGCAGCGGCGGTGGCAGCGGGGGAGGAGGTGGAGGAGGAGAGACGACGAGGATGGGGAGGAGAATGAGTAGGTGAAGGTCCTGACCATGGTGGAGGAGGAGGGGTGTGAGGGGGCCGAAGTGATTGGCCACCCGATCACTCCGCCGGCCCTCCCCGCTTTTTTTTCAATAAATCAATCAATCAATCAACCACCCAACCCCAACCCCCACACACCCCAAAGCCTGTTTGAGGCTGTTTCTGATTTTTTTTCTGTTTTTTCTCGGAATGGCCTCAAAATGTTTTGGGGGGGTCCCCTGGCAGTGCGCAGATCCCCCCCACCTTTTTTTTTTTTTTTTTTTTGCTTTCCGCGTGGCAAAAAAACCATTGTCAGATTTTTCGGACAACTCCCCCTCGACCGTCTGTCGGAGACGTCGGGGGAAGACATTTCCCAATTGCTTATAAGACCAATCAGCTTCCTTCCCTGAAACGATGCTCTTGCAGCACCTCACGAACAAAAACTCGTGACAACACTTTGCGAAGATACTTCTTGAAAGTTTCTGAATGAACACTGTCCTTGCCGATTGTAATCGAGATGAATTACAACATCCACACACCTCCAAGTGTTCATGCTTGTATTCAATTCCTCTGCTGCTTCCACAATATCGTAAATCATGTGAGAACTGTAATGATTGGACGTGTGTGCAAGTGTCTTTTTATGACCAATAGATTCAAGAGAGTTATGTATGACAATGTTAAAATTAGAAGAACTTGGTTGTCCCAAGGGTCCTGTATGTCTCTAGATAGTGTAAGAGCGGGCACAACACAACTGACAGGAGACATAGTAGTTGTAGCGGCCGGCAAAGCAGAAACAACAACAGAGGTAGTGACAATCGGCGTTGACATATTGGACGGTGGAGCAAAATTTGCAAGACGTTGAAAATTTGGAGGAAATGCTTCTTGAAGGGGGAGTCTACGGACCGAAGCGGAATGAGGAGCGGAACAAGCAACCATGGGAGGAGTCCTCTTGAGAAGGTTTTGTATCCTTGCATATCTGTGAAAGGGTTGAGGAATTGTCCTTTCGGTCGGACAATGTGGCAAATGAATTGTCATCCTAGTAATCTCCTCACTAGGGAGAGCAACGAACTCATCGTTCAAAAGCGATTGCAACATGGAACAAGCCTCCAAATCCGAAACATTCAACGAGTCTAAAGGAAGAGGGGATTGTCGTTCCAACCTCATATTAGTGAGTTTGTTTCTTTTCTAGTCGAGAAAGTTTTCCCATATTCATCCATCTTTTACGACTGTGGCACTTTTGACAAACATTTCAAAAAGCACCTCAGTCAAGACATTTTGCATGTCAACCCTCTTCGTATCGTCAAACCATCTAGCAAGGTAAGCGCGATGATTCACAGTGCGGATCGTAGGTGCATCGTTATCATCGGGCACCGCAATAACCCCTGAAGAATTTTGTGGTTGCGATGTGGCACAAACATCTTTTTCACGTCCACTGCATTGAGATTGCGAACACGAATCACGAACGCATGCACGTCCAACGAGCTGTGCACAAAACGGAAAAGATGCAAGTGCATCGTTAGGAAGCGCATTCAACGCTCTCATCATCTGATTTTTCGTTTCATGAACAACAGGTTGCCATCCCATCTGTTTATCAGTCAAGGTAGGCTCCGACACTTCGGGGGAACCCAAAAGATTAATTTTCGCACCACAACTTTTTTTTTCTCTTGAATATAGATTCAACACAGTCTTCTTTCGAATCTTCCATAACGTTATCATCCCCGTCATCGGCAAATGTAAGGTAAATAGGCCTACCTGACAGACCTTTATGCGAATCATCCCCATCAGCACAACAATTGTCACCACCCCCCTCCACAGTCATGTTCTCAGCATCATCAAGAGTATTTCCTTACGAACATCCACATTCAACTTCACAAAAAACAGCATGATCGCCCCGAGTATGTACACTTCCAAGATTCATCGATCTCTTATCATTTTCAGTTTTCTTCAACTGCTCCGAATGTTCGGCTCCAACTTTTGACATAACATTCGGATCATATTGAGTGGTATTGATCGTTCTCATAACTTTCCTCTTAGCACGAGTGTCGTAGGTATAGCGGATTCGGGAGTCACATGCAAAGAAAGAATAAGACGAAATTAATCGGAATGCCAATGATTGATAATAAAAAAAAAACAACTCAACCCAAAAGTTCATGATACACAATATTCTTCGTCAATTTTTTTTTTATCAGGCAACGCAACACGGATGTTGTTGGGACGACCAACACGCGAAAAAGCAACGTACAATTGGTCATGTGCAAAAACCGGCTTGTGTACCCAAACCTCCGCACACGATACGGTTTGTCCTTCCGACTTGTTAATCATAACAATAAAAGCAAGACGGACTGAAAATTGTCTCGTTAACCATTTGAATCCGTTGGTCTCACCATCGCTTGTCAGATCAATCTTGAGGATCGGTGTTGTCTTACCCGTGCGCATTATTCTCACTTCCATAAATCATCATTAACGATCTTCTTCAGAATCAATATTGTACCGTTGCAAAGTCCTTGCTTTGGGGACAAATTTCACAAAAGCATCACAGACGCAACAATTTTCAAGCGTAGTTTGTGAGGTGGAAGGTCCGATTCATTGAGAGAGTTTAAAAACTCTCTCTCAATACCGAGTCCGGTATCATCCGAATCAGGATCATCAACTCTTAAAAGTTTACGCACCTCCCCAGGAAAATCGTCAAGAACACGGTTGTTAACAGAATCCGCATCGTCATTAGTAGGGCATAAAATTAATCGAGGCGAGAAATACTCTGCATCCCCCACGTGGTTGGACACATCCTCAAATGCTCATGAAATTAACTCATCAATCGGTTTATCCGTACAAATCTCACGTGGCAATCTGACTGCAGCAGATTCATGAGAAACAATACGAGGATGATCACACTTCCCAACATGCATCAAAAAGTGGGCATACATTCGTGTCATTTCATCATCGTATGAGGTTAAGATTCGCATATTTTCGGTCAGCTGATGAACCTCAAAAAAATTCCACAAAGGAGATACCTTCATCGATGAATCAATTTGTTACGCTCGCGATCCGTGTTTCACAACAGGCTAAACCTGTCGAAAATCTCCCGAAAGAAGTATAATTTTTTCACCAAACGGCTCGTCATTATTACAGAGATCCCAAAGCGTAATGGCAAAAGCTCCCAAGTGGAACTTAAGTGAAACTTGTTACTCATTGGAGTCTCGTTCCAGATAATCAAATCTACACGGCGAATAAGCTCTACAACATCATTTTGTTTCGAAATTAAGAAAAGACGTGTGTTATCATGTTTCAAAAATGCACGAAATCATGACTGAAACGTTCGACCCTCTGTTAAAATAGTCGTCGTTATTCCACTGGACACCACGACCAGTCCCATGGTAGAACGAGACCTGATGTCCGCCAAAATCGTTTCAATGCAAAAAAAAAATTATGTTTCGGTTTGTGCATCGACAAAAGCACGCAACGGTATTTTCTCTTGCAAAGCCCAAGCAACTTTTTCCACCAACACTCATTGGCGTGGCCGAAAACGTCGAAAATTAGAGTCATATCTGCGTTGCATTTGAATCGGATGGTACGACAACGCCTCATTTAGAATCAACGATACCGTTCTGTTATCGTAATGTCTAAATATATTCTCGGTAATGGTTTCTCCATCGGGTGCTGGATAATAAAGGCAGAACTGACGGAAGATACGGTCAGGATGAAATAAGACTAACGACTGCAAAATGTTCGAGGGAACAATTTCATTGTATGCATGATACTGAAAATCGTCACACATCTTATCCCAATGTCGTTCAAAGAAACGGACCAGATTGTTCACTTGACCAAAGGCAAAAAGTTGAGAGCTATAGTAAACACTTCACAAACTTATTCATGCATGTAATGTGTTGCGACTGTGTCTATGTATTAATCGTATGCATCGTCGGTTTGCAAAATGCCCAATTGAAGATACACGGATCGGAAAGAATCGTATTCGACTCCATCCACCGTACAAATTTCATCAAAAGAACGCACCCTACGAAAATGTTTATGGTTTAGCAACACACGTAGATAAAATCGTTCACCTTCCGTGATCCTCACGTGATGCAATCGAGATATCTTTTCGATGGGACCACTGTGAAGATCTCGCTTTCTTCGATTCCACTTCTTGTGTTTGTTATCCCAAACATGAGTGTTAACGATCTCTGCATACAAAGGAAGTTCCTCTCTAGAAACATGTTCATTCAAGGAGTTGCGTTTCATCCATGTTGTCAGTTTCGTTTTCACGGGCCCATGCGAAACAACGTCATGCTCAGTGTCAGGTTCAGATTGCATTTTTTGCATGTTTTGAAACTGCAGAGATAATCTTTCGACTGCGGGTCATTGTTCCGCGAGGTCGAACTCAAATAGACGTCAGCATGACTCGCATGCACCTACAACACGCATATCTTGATACAATTTGACTTCATCGATAGACGCATTACCATTTTGCTCGCAAACCATAGCACAATCACACCCTTTGTAGACGTACTTACACACGTACTTGTACGCCTTGATGTTACCACAATATTCAACATTCAAGTGACAATTAAACCTCATAAGCAAGTACGGGTTATACGAGACCACACGATGATTATCGTAAACGACACCATTTTGAACAATCATAAAACCACTATCACTCGATTTCCTTCTCCTATACGAAGAGTATGTTTATTCGCCTTTGAATGTTGTTGTCGAAATGAAGTATTTTGAAAATCATTTTGTGCATTCTTCGTTCTTTGTACATGAAGCGTCGTGTTTCTCCGCACTGCAAATCCCGTGCAACATGAACTTGGCAACCCTTTCTCTCAATTCTCCTTCTAGAGGAATCTCGACACACACCACATTGTCAACAACATCCGTATCCTGAAGTTTATGATCCGGATGCAAGATAACCAATATATATGCATGCGGTAGACCCCTTTTATGAAACTCCACGATATACAACATTTCACTCATCCTACTAAAAATCTGTTTATTCTTTATCTCATCGATAAGTTTTGAAATATAACCTTTGAACACTCTCGCGAGAAGATCCGGCGTGTCGTTAGAACATTGACTTGACAACAAGGTTTGTTCGATCTCCGCCGAGTTAGTGTTGCACATCATAGTGATAA